TATGTATTAGTATAGGAAAATTATGTATTAGTATAGGAATAGGGGGGAAGTAATTACACCCGGTTAAAACGTGTAAGATCGCCTATAATCTAATAATCTTAATCTTTGCTACTGTTACTTTTTGTCCGAGCAACGCCGGACTGATCTGTTATTAATTTTATAAGCGAGATGGTGGCTTAAATGAAGAAATTGTTTCACATAAATGTGATTTATACTGCATTTACATATGTATTCGACTGATATTTGTTGATAAAGGTACAGTCGACCCCCCTATAAAGGCAACTATACACGATGGGTTAATCCTCAAAGGAGTAACCATGCATGCCTGACCTTTATAATTCTTGGTAGTTTATGGGGGAAAATTTAACAGTTTTGGCGAACTGTACCGACCACCGGAGTAGAATTGAAAAACCATTTGATTTTCCTGGCGCAGTGTCAGACTGCGCAGGCCGACCTAAACGTGTGTTTCAATTCATTTCTTCCGTTTTCATAAAACATCGTGATACTCTTTATCATTTTCTTCTACATTTTAAAAAATTTATTGTTTTAATATCGGATGTGGTTGAGAATTATTAATATGTATTCGTCTATAAAATTTAATCCATGAATTTATTTGGTAGTAAAATCGACTTACCATTGATCTTTCGCTGATAATTGATGCTTTTTAACATAATCTATAGCCCAACATTTCTCTTGAAAATTAATTTTGTAATCAGTGCTACCCAAACCACTACTACTACTATTTACACCATAGACTTCTATGCATACTTTTTTCCCGCGAGTTTTAATAGAATTTGTTGCCAATAAACATCAGTGGCGTAATAATAAACACAATGGCGTAGCGAACATAACTGGCACCCGGGCCGCGACACTATATTGGCGCCCCCTCCCCCTCCAGAAACNCGTTTCATTGTTTATCTTATTTTATGCCTATTACTTTGTCTATATAAATAAGAAAGGAAACATCGGCAATAAGAACGGACAGAAGGTGATTTTCATGATTTTTATTTGCATGAGGTAAACTGTGCGAAAAAACACACTGCTTGCCCCTTTTGTATCCTGTTACCACAGCGAAATTTCATTAGACGTGTCTGGAAGCCATGAAATGAAAAAAAATAAAAAGCCGGAAAACTGAAGCCCCAACATAACGAAAAGACATATAGCCGTTTACTGTTAATTAATAAATATTTTTTTAATTATCACATGTATAAATGTATGCCTGCGAGTATAATATACATACACCGACAACGTATAGGGGCGTCTAAATTCAGTGGCGAGTTATCCTATGATCAAAAAGAGCAATTGCCTGGATCCATCACCTACTAGGTCTCCATACCAATGTAAGATAAGAAAATATTACCCTCAAAAATTTTCTCGCAGAAAAATATCTGAAGTCAACACTGTATACGGGCCTCCGAATTCAAAAATGCCTGGTCTCCATGAAGCTATAACGCTCCATTGTCTAAATTTACTTTGCCTATGGCGTCATATATTATCGCGCCTGTTCTGTATCCCATTATGTATTCTGTAATCTCAACAATAAGCTATTTCATCTCATTTTACATTTACCGAATAGCTGAATTAGAATCATCCAGTTCTCGTTTCAGTGTTTCAGTAATTTTTCCTTCACTTACGTTGATATTCTGTCTTTCAATTTTCACTACCAAACCTTCTAGGTAATAAAAAAACAGAATATTACAGTAGACCCCCTATAACGCTTAGATACGTTCCACGCTAACCGAAAATTACGTTGTAGGAATGACAAAATNTGGAAACCATTTGGCTCCCCTCTGCAAGTGGCATCCGGGGCAAGCTGCCCCACTCTCTGCTGAGAGGTTTTCTTCGTTTGTGGGCGATAGGAAATTCGGAAGTTTCTCAAGGTCAGGCAGCCTCAAAGGATTAACTTAACGTGTATAGCTGCTTTTAGTCCGTAAACTTCGGTGTCGGTGCGATTGGCTCATGTATTTAATGATTCCTACAACGTAAAATTCGATTAACGTGGAACGTATCTAAGCATTATAGGGGGGTCTACTGTATACCAATCAACTCGCGGTTTCTTGTAAACTCTTTCTCTCGAACGCTATTCGATAGCCTAGAGCTATGTATTTTTTTTGCTGTTGAATTAAATCGGTTATTTTAGTTACTAATCTTATGTCCGAGTGAATCACTTCCGATCTGTCTGTCAACCCTCCTTTATCCCGAATCCGATCGCCCGCGCACGTGACCGCTGAGCAAATTTTAAAGTTGCGGTTTACGTGTCTATCCCGAAAAACACACTGTGGTGTAAGTCCTGACGAGGCATCGTGATGTGATGCCCACCCTCCGGTCACGACTATTTACAAAGAGGAGTGATTTTATGTTTTTTAAAAAGACAACACAGAAGTCTTAAAATGTTTATTTTAAATTTAACTCGATCAAAATAATCAATTAGGCTATAATAATGTATTTACAAATTAACACGAAATTAATGTATTTAAGAATTATTTATAAATGAATTTTGTCTTCGGTTAAATGTGCTTCTACTCCAAAATGTCATCCGTGTCTACGAGATCCACGAAATGAGTAAACTTTTCTTTTTCGCCACAAAAACTTATTCTAGAATTAAAATTCTCGACTTAGTTTATTGTAATGTCTGTATTTTGTCTTCTTACTGGACAATTCGGTTTATTATTCTTGGAGACAGAATCTTTGTTTCGATTTCGTAAATCAATTTGTTCTTTCACCAAATCTTTTTCCTCCATTAGATTTTCGCTCATTTTGTCGAAAATTACGCGATTCTCCGTTCTAAATTTCTCGGATTGTTTGCCAGTCTGTCTACGTAAGACGATATAATTTGTGTTAAAGTAATCTTTGAAATTTACACCACGATCCACAGACGATCCGTTGTACGCATCTCCAGCATGAGTAACGTGGTTTGAGTTCTTCCAGCTTCCTTTCTTCACTTGAACAGCGGGTGGCAAGTTCGTATGTTCGATAGTACGAACTGTATACAGATTGTGTGTTTGATTGTTTAATGAAAACTTAATTGGGTGCTGTTCTGACCCACTTTCCTTACTGGAAATATCGATCTCTCGTGTTTTCGTGTCCTGAAATGTAGCGACATCCTCGTTCGTCTTTGTGAGAGAATGAGAGATTTTTTCCTCTTCGGATAACGCCTCGGAAGATTTTTGAAAATTACAAATCTCTTCTTCGTATAAACTGTTTCTGTTTTGCTGTTTGACGTTGGTGTCTAATTGGGTTTCTTTCTCTTTCTGAGACGAGCCACTCGCATAAGATGGAGAACTATATATGGTTTCTACGCTACCGGAAGCAGGACTTTTAATTTTGGCCGTCATCTGTACAGTTTCGGTTCCATTCGAGGAAGATGAATCATGTTTATCCTTTTCATTTTTTGGTGATGTTGATTTTGCAGACAATAGGGGAGATGTTTCTTCAAAATCTTCCTCACCCAGTGTTTCTTCCAGTGTCAATACAGTTTCATTACGGATCTCTTCCGAACTGACGTGTTTTTCGCTCTCGTGATGAGATGACTCGATATCGACGAAGAAAATGGATTTTGATCGTTGAGGTGCTTCGTACTTTTGTTGTTTAGACGGTTTTTCGTTAAATATTCTAAAGAAAACGTACACGAGCACAGTAGCAAGTAGAAGTATTAATGATACTATAACGAAAGCAACCAATACCATGGAAATGGCACGGCCGATTTTTTTCATTACGATTTTCATTTCTTGTTCGGTAAGCTCTTTTCTCACCTTGATATCAGTTGTATTTTCTGGTATTTTAATTTCATTGGCTTTCTGTCTGATTGGACCGATTAACATTCTATTAAGACGATTTTTAAAACTATTCTTCGAAAATCTTACATTTCCATTTAATTTTCCCGCTTGATCCATGTCTGCTTTTTGGTCGAGCTCATTATTTGCGTAATTTCTCATAAAATATGACTTTTTGTATTTTTTGTAATTTTCTATGTAAAAAGATGGCTTCTGATCTTTGCTTTTTGAATTTTTTACAGTTATCTGTTTAGTTAAATCTTGATTTCGTTCAAATTCTTCATGATCTTTATCTGTGTCCATTTCTAATTTTTTGCTTCGTAGCTGTTTCAAAAATTGGGTCGGTCTGACGAGCCAGTCCAATCCTCCAACTTTTGACTTACTTTGAGGAATATACACACCACTGTATTTTTTAAACTGTGGTGAAGACATCGCACTGTTTAAAGCGTCATCGTAAGCAACCCGTTTCTCAGTTGGAGAACCGAGGGTCAACCAGTTTGCTTCATTCATGAGTTTCTTTTCTAGACTTATCATGGAGTTATGCCCCGTAGGAGCATACAATAAAATAAATAACGGTAAAATTACCATTAATGTATCGCGTCTATTCATCGTTTATATCGACTATTTCCACTTGAAAGCGCTTTAAGAATTATTCACTTTCGTAAATATTGTTAGAAAACACTAATATTGTTCGCATTATTGAAATCGCAACAATACAATCATTTACGAAACTTCGGGTTTATATTAATATTATTTCTGATTTATTTATAGCCTATAGATTTGCTATAATCATACATAATACTGACTATTTGTATAATATTTAATATAATANACCTAATTTATATATAATTAATATATAATTATATGTACAGTACCTAATTTATATATAATTTATATATAATACTAAACAGACGATAGCAAACTCAATTTAGCCGCTCCGTAGCGTGGCGCAGGGTCGGAGGAAAGTAGTTCGGCTGCTCATCCACTATTGGTCCAGACTCTATCAATCTTCTCGCGAAACGACGTTATAGGAGGTACGTTATACGAAAGTTGCTACAATTTTTTCGCTACGTTATAGGAATTTCCGTTATAGGAACGTAGGTTATAGGGGGGTCGACTGTATTCTAAATTAACAATTTTCAGCTAATTGTAAATTTTTAAACAAAAATTAATATATAATAAAATATTGACTAATGTACTTTTTTCTTTTCAATTTCAGTTTGCGGTTAAATTTGTGAACACGTAAAACATGAACCTTTGTAAGAAGCTTTACAAAAATATTTTAAAATTGCCAACTGCATTGGTACTCCTATTGTTCCTTATATTCGTTATTTACCATTACAATCTGAAACATGACGTCTCAAAGCTGCATTCAGAGGATCTATTCGATTTTACCGATTCAAACAATGAAACTGGATTTCCTTATTACATTATTCCAGACATTGTTCACTTAATTCGCTTCGATAATACAAACGTGACGTTCGTTGATATGGTCAACATCAAATCCATACTTCTGAATCACAAGCCGGAGAAGATAATCATCCATTGCAATTGTCACAACTTAACTGGAAAATACTGGGACATGATTAAAGACATACCACAGCTGAAATTGCAGTATAGAAAGAAACCAGAATATATTCATGATATAAAAATAAGCTTCGTACAACACGCATCTGATATCTCTCGTATAGAAATTCTTCGGGAATATGGAGGAATTTATTTAGATAACGACGTGTTTGTCGTTAAGTCACTACACGATTTTCGAAGATTCGAGTTCGTTATCAATTGCGATATAAATCAATATTTAGGGAGTCAAGTGATAATAGCGCATAAGAATGCAAGATTTTTAAAATATTGGCACTATTCTTATAGGTATTACCGACCCGACAAATGGTATTATAATGCTGGTGAATTACCATCAAAATCGATTCTTTTCGTGCTTCCAGAATTTGCACATAGAGTGGTTGGAGGATTTGGAGTGGATATTAGTTTAACTTACATGTTATACGGAGAAAGAAG